ATGTATGTATCTTTTCTTTCTTTCCTGACCTGTCTTTGGTATTTGTAATCTTTACCTGTCACTCACATTTCTACTTCCTCCCTCTATATAAATAACCCCACAGCTATAATTTATTGGCTTTCCTGAAATGACACTACTGAATAGAATTGTTGATTTCCATAACCTCAGACCTATTCGGAGTCTACTTTTTTGTTTTAAGCATTACTTTTGAAAACTTTGAAGAACATAGCTGTTGGGTTAACTTTGAGCAATGTGTATGTGTTTGTGTGTAGGTGAGCAAATAGGCAAAAAGGTGCCTTAGTATTGCTGTAAGCTAAATTAAATAATCCAACACATACATAACTTTATTCCCTTCCAACAGCTTTTCCAATTTAGCTAAAAACACACTTTATATTCAAAATATTTTTCAATGTTCTTTTACTTTTAATTTCCTACTGAAAGGGATGTGTCAAGTTCCACAGAGCAGTTTGTTAAAAATTGGCTAACAACAAATGATGACAGTATTACAGCATCTTTATGAGCTTTGGTACATTAATGTCCTTTAAGGCCCCACTTGAATGTCTTAATTAGTTCATGATGATGGTATAATTAATAAATAATCCTGATGTAAAATGTGGGCAACTGTTGGAAAATGTGTATTATTTTTGTTCAGTCATTCGTTTTTTCTCAATGTCTTGTGTGAATAACTATAACTTAAAGGGAAACTTATTTAGCTTATTTACTTTAGCTTTACAGCAAAAAAGACACCCTTTGGTGAATTGTATTATATTCAAATGAGATGGAAATACAACTAATGTTCTTTGATGAATATAATATTCAGCTTTTTTTTTTCAAGCAGCAATTAGACGACTATGTGGAAGTATTCTGTTGATCACTTATTTCATTAGTGTGATTCAATTATGTGATGCTTGATTGTGCGAGAACATCATTCCTTTCATGTTGTTTGAATGGAGATGAACGATATTGTCGCGTCTCATTATTTTTGTTTTGCCTCATATTCTTACTTGAAAACTTTATGCTTAGCTTATCCTACTGCAGCTTTTATGTCTGGACGTTATTTTTGCTGCAGTAATAAGTCACAGTTAACATCATCTAAAAAAAAAAAAAGTCTGTTTGTACTGAACTCGGCTCATACAGTAAAATTATTCCACTAATAGCAATTAAAGTGGAAATGGGACATACATAGGAATGAGATTTGCAAATAGAACCACCAAATCAGTGAAATATTAAATAATATAATATATATGCTATCGCAAATGTGTAACTTAAATGGTATATTCAATGCTTTTATATGTGTTTTTCCTGGCACTAACTGCAAAACAAGTACAGCTTCATGTTATGTTTAACAAAAATGCCTTTGCCAGAGAACTCAATTAGGGGTAACAAACAGGCGGGGGATATAACTGACTGGTTCCTCTCTCATGCAGCCTGCCTATCTATCTGTGCTATCCGACTAACATGCATGTCCATGTTTAGTCAACAACAAACCCAGCAGGTGGTTGGTGTGTGTATGTTGATGTGTGTGTGTGTGTGTGTGTGTGTGTGTGTGTGTGTGTGTGTGTGTGTGTGTGTGTGTGTGTGTGTGTGTGTGTGTGTGTGTGTGTGTGTGTGTGTTGGAGTAGATACTTTGTTGCTTTGTTGGAGCAGCTAATTTGACCATCTGGACTGTTAACACTCTAACAGAGGGACTGGTTGCAGTATCAGTACTGTGCGCACACACAGAACCCCACAATAATCACGTATGTACACACACACAGTAGATCCATGCACATATAAATAAACACGATGTACAGAATCGAAAAACACGAACATAGGCATTGGCAGGCAAAAACAGGTTCTGTGCTTCACTGGAGAGTTAAACAGTCTGAGCAAAGCACATTCTGAACCATCTGAACCAATCCGAGCCAGACTAATTAACATACACATTTGCATATGTACGAATCAAACCTCCACCATGACTCCCCAACCTGTCGGAAACCTGATGAATCGGAGATGCAGCGTGTCTCTGTGCTGTGCTTAGCTCAGCTCGTACAGTTTTTAAGAGATTTGCACATAAACACACACGCACAAACACAAAGATGACAAGCAAATAAGGAAAAAAAGCAAATAAATCAGACATGTACGCTCAAAACAACTTCATTAACAAGCAAGCAAAACAATAAACTACATGGACAAGCACGACTTCACTTCATGTTTGTGAACTTTTTGTTTTTTTGACATGTATTGGCTTATATATCAAAGTATGTGATCTTTTATTGTGTATTCAACCTTCATTTATACATCCCTTTAGATTACAATCCTTTTTACAAAGGAGGTCTGGCCAAGAAAGCACACAAATAAATCATGTCCAAAAACAGATAATGAACAACAGATAAATAATATAAATCTATCTTTGGAATTGCATGCATGTGTACATTTATGTACACATGCATACATATGTACATTTATGCATGTTTAATATTGTATGAACATCTGGGTATGCAAAAGACTGTGTAATACATGTGTCTAGTGTTTGTGAATAATCTAGGTGGGAAACATAAATGCACACACATGTTAGCACCATTATGAGTATAATGTGAGAGGATATGAGAATGTAATACAGACACAGAGAGAGTATGGTGGGGCTATAATAAAGAGAAAGAAAGATATAAAGAAGGAATTTAATTTACGATGACGTTTATATTTCTGACAGCTTTAATAAGTGAAATGTCAGTAAGAAAATGTAATAACACTTTTAAAAAGTAATATTTTTCTTCAACATTTTCCATGGTTTTAATTGTTGAAAGGGCTATGGACAAAATGGAATAATATTCATGTGAGAATTGTTGCAGTACGGTGTGTCAAATGACTTATGAACCATTGGCGCCCTCACACTCGATAATTTCCCTTCAGGATGTCTTATTAAAGAGTTTCCAAAGTGCTACACATTTGGATTTCTCAAAGTTAGACGAAATTGTAGTAGTTTCAAAAGAAGAGCAGTAAATGAATAAGGCCATTTCTGGTTCTTATTACACTTAACAAAAATATAAATGCAACACTTTTGTTTTTGCTCCCATTTTTCATGAGATGAACTCAAAGATCTAAAACATTTTCTATATACACAAAATAACCATTTCTCTCAAATATTGTGAATAGTGAGCACTTCTCCTTTGTCGAGATAATCCATCCCACCTCACAGGTGTGGCATATCAAGATGCTGATTAGACAGCATGATTATTGCACAGGTGTGCCTTAGGCTGGCCACAATAAAAGGCCACTCTGAAACGTGCATTTTTGCTTTATTGGGGGG